GCAAGCATCTTTTCATGTATTTTGTTGGTCGCCTGAATGTCCTCTTTAGTGAAGTGTCTGTTCATGTCCTTTGCCCATTTTTTTGATAGGATTGTTTGTCTTTTTTTGTTGAGTTGTTGAAGTTTTCTATATATTTCAGAGATTAGGCCCTTATCAGATATGTCTTTGTCAAAGATTTTTTTCCCAGTTTGTAGGTTTTCTTTTTATTCTCTTGGTAAAATCTTTTGATGAACATAAATATTTAATTTTTAGGAGTTTCCAGTTATCTAATTTATCTTCTGTCATTCATGCATTTTTAGTTTTGTTTAATGACAATTTATGCAGAAAATTAGGTCCCCTAGTTTTACCCTATATTATCTTCCAGGAGCTTTATAGTTTTAGCTTTAACATTTAGGTCTTTGATCCACTGAGTTAGTTTTTGTGCATGGTGTGAGGTATGGATCCTGATTCATTTTTCTGCATATGGATATCCAGTTCTATCAGCACCATTTGTTAAAGAGACTATTTCTTCCCCCATTGAATGGACTTTGACCCTTTGTGAAAGATCAGCTACCCATAGACGAATGGATTTACTTCTGAGTTCTCGATTCTATTTCCATTGGTCTATGTGTCTGTCATTGAACCAGTACCAGGCTGTTTTGATTACTGTGGCTGTACAGTAAGTTCAGAGAACGGGAAGTGAGGGGTCTCCTACTTTGTTCTTCTTCAATATTGTTTTACCTATTGGGGGCGCTCCTTCATTTCCATATAAAGTTGGAGACTAGTTTTTCCATTTCAGCAAGAATGTTGTTGGTATTTGGATTGAAATTGCACTATAACTATTGATCGCTTTGGGTAGTATTGACATTTTCACAATGTCAAGTCTTCCAATGCATGAGCGTGGAATGTTTTTCCATTTATGTAGATCTCTTTTAGTTTCTTGCAGTAGTGTTTTATAGTTTTCCTTGTATAAGTCTTTTATATCCCTGGTTAGGTTTATTCCTAGGTATTTTATCCTTTTGGGGGCTACTGTAAATGGTATTAATTTCTTGATTTCCTTTTCAGAGTCCTTCTTGTTCGTGTAGAGGAGCCCGACTGATGTTTGTGTGTTGATCTTGTACCCTGCCACTTTGCTGAGTCCTTCTATTAGTTTCCAGTAACTTTCTTGTGGAGTCTATGGTATTTTCTTTGTATAGGATCATGTAGTCTGCGAATAAGGATAGTTTTACTTCTTCCTTTCCAATTTGGTATGCCCTTTATGTCTCTTTCTCGCCTTATTACTCTAACTAGAACTTCTGGTACAATATTGAATGAGAGTGGTGATAAAGGGCATCCTTGTTCTCATGCCCATTTTCAAGGGGAAATACTCTCAATCTTTCTCCATTGAGAATAATGTTGGCTGTTGGTTTTGCATATATACACTTAATTATGTTGAAGAATTTCCCTTCTATTCCTATATTGCTGAGATTTTTTATCAGGAAAGGTTATTGGATTTTATTAAATGCCTTTTCTACATCAACTGAGATGATCATGTGATTCTTTTCCTTTGTTTTATTTATGTGGTGAATTACATTGATTGATTTTCTAATGTTGAACCATGCCTGCATCCCTGGTATAAATCCCACTTGATCATGATGTATTATTTTTTTGATATGCTGTTGAATTCTGTTGACTAGGATTCTGTTGAGAACTTTTGCATCTATATCCATGTG